ATTAATGTCACATACTTATAACTCAGTCTGTTTATTAACAACGTAGCCCAAATACTCTTCACAATCTATATACTAAGCAACACAAATACGATTCACAGTCTATTTACAATCGTGGTAAAAATACCATTTAAAATCTGTATACCAAGTAACTCAAATACCATTCATAATCTATGTATCAAGTGACAAATACCATTCACAATCTGTGTACTAAGTAAACCAAATACCATTCACAATGTGTACTAAGTAACACAAGTACTATTCACAACCTATGTAATATTGTGGCACATATACTATTCACAATCTGTTTCCTAACGTAGCACAGATCCCATGCGCCATCTATCTACTAACACAAATACCATTCACAATCTATGTACTAAGTATCACAAATACCATTCACAATATGTACTAAGTAACACAAGTACCATTCACATACAGGTAATACCGTGGCACAAATACAATTCCCAATCTATTTCTTAACGTAGCACAGATCCCATATAACCAATGAAATAGTACTACCTCCTAACAAAATACCATTCACAATGTGTGCTAAGTACCACAAGTACCATTCACATACAGGTAATATTGTGGCACAAATACTATTCCCAATCTATTTCTTAACGTAGCACAGATCCCATATAGCCAATGATAATAGTACTATCTCCTAACACAAATACCATTCACAATGTGTGCTAAGTACACACAAGTACCATTCACATATAGGTAATACCGTGGCACAAATACAATTCCCAATCTATTTCTTAACGTAGCACAGATCCCATATAGCCAATGAAAATAGTACTACCTCCTAACACACATACCATTCGCAACCTCAGTACTAACGCGGTCCACACTCTTGCAGAACGACTTTCCACCAGATGTTCGTGGATCGCGACCACAGCCTCACGTGGTGCAAAGTGCCCAAGGCCGCGAGCACCAGCTGGCTCCATGCATTCCTTGAGGTGAGTCCCCTGCGAGTGTCGTGTGCTGGTGATGCGGTGGGTCCTGGTGGTGGTCGTCGTGGCTGCTGGGAAGGTCTACTCTGTTCTTCTTGTTTTTGTGTGTGGCATGTTTGATTCTTTCGTTCTCTTCTTTTTGTATATTCTCTGAATTTTGTGGTTTTCTTCGTTTGCTTCTGTGTCTTTTCCCATTATGTTTTTGTTTCTTTGTTTTTCTCGCTTTTCTCTCTCCTCTTCTCTTCTCTTCTCTTCTTCCCCCCCTCTTCTCTCCTCTTCTCTCTTCCCCCCCTCCCTCTCCCTCTATCTCTCTCTCTCTCTCTTTCTCTCCTCTCTCTCTCTCTCTCTCTCTCCTCTCTCTCTCTTCTCTCTCTCTCTCTCTCTCTCTCCTCTCTCTCTCCTCCCTCTCTCTCCTCTCTCTCTCTCCCTCTCCCTCTCCCTCTCCCTCTCCCCTCCCTCTCCCTCCCCCTCTCCTCTCTCTCCTCTCTCTCTCTCTCTCTCTCTCTCTCTCTCTCTCTCCTCTCTCTCTCTCTCTCTCTCCTACCTCTCTCCCTCCCTCCCTCCCTCCCTCCTTCCCACCAACTTCATTTCAAGGTATAAATAAAAAAAAAAACTCCCGATCACCTATCTCACTTATTCCGTACAAAACCGACCCAAGAACTAAACATGAAACCTCGACTTCACAGATCGCGGGCGAGAAGGACGTGTCATCGAAGGATATGGCGGGAAAACACGCGCTACTGAGGGAGAGGTATCCCATGCTGACGAATTCCTTGCTGAAACGCATTATGCCCACGACCCTCAAATTCATGGTGAGTTTTGGGCGTGCGTGTATGTGGTGTGTGTGTGTGTGTGTGTGTGTGTGTGTGTGTGTGTGTGTGTGTGTGTGTGTGTGTGTGTGTGTGTGTGTGTGTGTGTGTGTGTGTGTGTGTGTGTGTGTGTGCGTGTGTGCGTGAGCGTGTGCGTGTGCGTGTGCGTGTGTGTCTGTGTGTCTGTGTGTCTGTGTATGCATGTACATGTACATGTATAATCTATTTATCCATCTATCAATCTATCTTTATCAATCTATTAATCCATCTATCTATCTGTCTGTCTGTATACAGTATATACAACACTATTTCCCGGTTATTTTGAATATACGGTTAGTTTTTTTTACCGCGTGAATTGTACAAAAGTAACAAAATTGCCTTTGTAAGTCGAAAAGTTATGAATGCGAACCTTTTTTATTGTAAATTACATACCCCGTTTTAATGCTGTCTTCACAGGAATCACATAGTTATGTACGTAATTAGCGTCGTATTATGCTAATTACAGCTCTTGAAGATTTTAATTTAATAATTTTGCTTCATACCTTTTCTGCTTTTGCCACGATGAACAACCGTCCCATCCTTTTTTTGTTCCAGGTGGTGCGTCATCCTTTTGAGAGAGCACTTTCGGCCTATCGGGACAAGCTTGAGGATTATGCACGAGACCTGAAAGACAGGTAAGATATGAATGGTTACATAGAGAGACAGTAATAGAATAATGTGTGATTATTGTTCTATTTTCCTTGACTGCGTCGGATAGGGAAGTTTACAGACTATGTTTCCTTGAGAGACATTTTCGAGATAAGACAGTGATCATATCCTTACTGTGATTTGTCATCGGCGTTTTTTCATCTAAGAATTGTGAATTGACTCCTGTCGTTTTCATATTGTGATTTTCCAGGGGAGGCTATTATTATGCAATCTACGGCAAGAAAATAGTCAAGGCCTACCGCAAAGAGGGGACCAGTGGAGAGGACAGCAACCAGCACAGGGAACCAACCTTCCGAGAATTCATCCAGTACCTCCTTGACACAGACGTCGAGGAGTACGACGAGCACTGGAGACCCATTTCCCTTCTGTGCACACCTTGCCACATCAAGTATGATGTCATTGCAAAGATGGAGACCTTGTCGAAGGATGCTGACTTCATCCTGTACCATCGTGGGCTTGCTGATAACGTTCATATAGAATGGTCACACAAAACAGACCAGCTGCAGAAGACGTCAGATGTGGCAAGAACGTATTTCTCACAGCTGACCTCCAGTGAAGTGAAGCAGCTGTATCATAAATATCTTCTAGACTTTCTAATGTTCGAGTATGATTTGGAGCCGTACATGAAATTAACGCAGACGCAAAAAATCAACACAACTTTGACCATTGATGGGAATGAGGGCGAGGAAGAGTACTATAATGAAGACGATGAAGAGTATAGTGAAGATAATGATGATGAAGATGAGGAGGAGGAGGTAGAGTATGAGGAAGAGGAGACTCCTAATACAGGTGATCATAATTATGAAGAATATGCAGTCAATGATAAAATCGGTGAAGTTGATAATAACATTTAAAGTATTGTCATGGATTATTTGGTATTGTTTTACCTATAGGAGTTATTATTGGCACATTGGTGGTTACACAGCAAAGTGCCAACAAGGCTTCTTATTTCTATCTGTGATTTTAACATTTAAAAGTTACATTGATTTTTAAATATATAAATATTCACTGCAGTACATGTTCATACCTTAAAATATCAGTCACTGAGATGCAAAAAGATCATAGCAAAATAAAACAAAATCCTCTACATTAATTCATAAACATTGAATAAACCAGTACTTATATAGAAGGTTTTATGTGTCGGCTTATGTATTTTACACTTGTATGCTGAGCTTCTAGAAAGTGGGTCTGCAGTAATACAGAAAATGGGGCATTGAAACAATGTTATGTATTAGTTAAGTCGTGTTTTTTTTACTTTAAGGTCTAAGCACTTGCCATTCATCATATATTGTCATCTGTGAGATCATTGCATTCATTGCTTAGCTCAATTATCTAAGGGCCAAACATTTAATGTAAGTAATATTTTTGCTGTGGGCTGTTCCAAATCAAATTTACAGAACCAACATTATAGTTGTTGCAACTACAGATATAAAAAGTATAAGTATGCCTTTGTTCCGAATTGTGGCATGACATAGTTTGCTTCTTAGGACTTTCATGTATTTGCAACATCTTTTGCCTAATACAGAAGGAATTATGTCCACCAGATTATAATCTAATGCTGTACTAGATCAACTGATCTCATTTTACATGTTTTAAGATAAATTTACTTTATATATGTCTATACATATACATTATGTATATATATATATATATATATATATATATATATATATATATATATATATATATATATATATATATATATATATATATATATATATATATATATATATATATATATATATATATATATATATATATACATACACATACACGTATATATACACATACATATATATGTATGTATGTATGTGTACACACACACACACACACACACACACACACACACACACACACACACACACACACACACACACACACACACACACACACACACACACACACATATATATATACTTAAATTGAATTATCCCATCAGTTGTGATATTTATGATAAATAAGTATGTAAAATGAATGAATGAAATTAAATGAATGTTGTTTTTAAAATGACATTGAATGAAACAAAACACATGGTGTGTTCTGTATGTCATTAGATATAAGTTATATTGCTAATCAAATAAGACATCTTGTAAAACCAGCTATAGGCAAGACAGAATGTAAAACCTTACTATCTTGTCTAAAGCACCAGCACCTTCTGTGAAGGTTTGAGAGCAATGGGAGAACAATTATTATTTATGAAAATGTGAGTAATGGGGCACAAGAGCATTTTTTTTACTCACTGTATCACTCAAACACTTCTCTATGAGTAGTGAATAAAGTGTTGAGCAATATCATTTTTGTTTTTCTCTCTTTCTGCAAACTCTTGGAGTAAGCAAAATAACATTCCTTTAAGGCTGTTTATTTATGAAATCTTCAATTTACAATATTTACATATATTTTTCATATGGTAATGAACATTCTTTTTTCATATAAAGTGCAAATTTCAGTTAAATAATAAATAAAACCCAAGAACCTCAAATTACCCCACTATAACTGAAGTCAGATGAATTTATAACTTTTTTCGTGTGGGAGGAGAAGGCTGTCATCAGTACACCCTATTCTAAGCACTGCCTAAACGGACTGTAACCAAATGACATTGTTACCTACACAGAAGAGGGAAAGATAATCCAACAATTCATGGTAAATACTTCAAATCACAAATTCAAAATCTGATTATAAGATTCTGTGCTATCCTTCCTATTATATCATTTTACTGAAAACTCAAACAATTACTTTTCAAATTATCTATGATTTGAAAATAACTTTATTTTTAATGCATGGAATACTTCTAAAAACAAACTACTTCAGAATCAGCAAATTTCTAACAGCTAACAAAGCTTTAATTGCCAGGGGTGTTGCCAGTTCTTCCGTGTCTCCTTGTCAATAAACTCCTGGTTCCATTTTGTAGCCGTTATTGTTTCATCCTCCTCAAGTGCTTTTTCATCCACCTTGATGTGGGGAGAGTATATGAATTCTCCAGTTTCCTGAAAAAAAAGCAAAGAAATAAGCATTTAAAACATATAGATACACCATACAGGTATATGGAATTAAAAAAAAAAAAAAAAATAAATAAAAAAAATAACAATAATAATAATCAGAACATATATCACAAAACAGTACAAATCCTGCAACAAAGTCTACTACATTATGATGCTGACAAAAAAGTCCTGAACTAAAAATATGATACATGTTATATAAACATTTCCAAAAATTACTGTTAAGTCTCTCTGTACTACAATGTTATCAAAAGAAATGACTATTGTCAAATAAATGTTCTATCCACAAGTGATGTGGATAATCTTCTCCGTAATAAATTTTAGTGCCAGCAAACATACAAGAATCTAAATTCTATAAAAACCTTATCAGGAAAATATAAAGCTGTCAGGATATCAAAAATAGCAGGTAAAAATACTTGCAATACAGAGTTACAAAACATATTCACTATACTGTTAACTGCTGCAAATTAGTTTATTTTCTAGGTACTAAATGAAGAGAAATATAGAAAAAAAGAGAAAAAATAAATGCAACTTAAGGGGGGTATCCCTACTTCCAAAAGAGCCTACGATTACGGAAAAAACGACTGATAGACTATACACAAAGTTGCTTATAAAAGCATGAAGCTATAGCAGTACTATAAAATAATAAAAAGCCTGATAACCATAAAACAGTAAAGAACACAAGCATATGTAAAACATGGTTGACATGAACATACCCTCATGAAACAACACGCTGGATCCGCATCTTCGGGCAAGTTTTCCGGAACTCTTAGCGGAGTTACTTTCACCAAGTGCTTCACTTTCCAAAGCATTGCGTTGTTTTCCGGGTTGTTCTTTATCACTGCCACATCACTTCTCTGAAATAAATACATCGGATATGATAATGGGTTGGATGTACGAAAAAGATGACTGAGATGCTGATGTGTAGAACTTTGAATTACATTTTGCACACATTTTGGCAAAGGTCAAAACAGGTGATCAAGGTAGTATAGTTTTCGAGCAGCCATTGGTCTTTTAGGGTTTTTTCTGATTTTAATCTTGTGTGTGTGTGTGTGGTGTGTGGTGTGTGTGTGTGTTGTGTGTGTGTGTGTGTGTGTGTGTGTGTGTGTGTGTGGTGTGTGTGTGTGTGTGTGGTGTGTGTGCGTGCGTGCGTGCGTGCGTGAATTGTGTGTGTTGTGCTTGTGTGTATGGTGTGTATGTGTGTCTTTATACACATATATATACTTGGTAGAAAAACCCAAATACACAAACTAAAATTTATTGAAGAAAGTTAAAAGCTCATGATCAGCAATTGGGCATGGATAGTGTCAGTGTGAAAGAAAAATATCAGTCTGTTTGTTATTATGGCATCTAATACGGAAGAGGTACTTTCTGTAAATCCTTGTAGCTTATTTATGAATTGTTTTACTTCATTTTTATAAATCATCCCAGTTAACTTTAGCATAGTATTTTGAGTTGCTGCCGCCTAAGTGGTGTTGGTCATAACCCTCAAGATAGCCAATGTTCTTATGACAGTTTATCATTGTTGTCTGATAACTCCCTATTTCATATACACTCCCTCCCTGGAATACTTCCCCCAATCCCAGCCAGGCTTTGTGTCCACCCAGCAATCAGACTGTAAATTATCTACTGAAAATCACCGTACTTATCACCTATCCTAGATTAATTGTAGAACAATACTAACCAAACAAAAAGTGGAATATAATCAACATAAGGAAAACAAACAAGTTAATCACAAAACCATAAAAACTAAACAAACCTTTTGGAAGGCCATTTGTGTCCAGGTCCCAGCCTGGGCCGGGTATCTTAATGTAACGTCCCAGTTATCAATCCTCATGTAAAATGTAGCAATCTGTGTTAACCATCACCAAATTATGGAATATCACCACTAGAAATTGTATTACTTAACAATACAACCAACAAAAATGGATCATTATATCAACAAATGGACTAAACAATACAACCATATACTAAAACATATAAAAACTGCATTTGTATATTTACCTTTTACCAGTTGAGGATCCTAACGCTTCATGATCAATGAAAAAAAAATTGCAATGGGTCGAAGACATCTATGTGCCAAAAAAGGGTGGGTCAATCTGGCAAAAAAAGATAGAAGGATATCACATTAGAGTGACCTGTGTTTGAACTTTTAGGTATCAATGACAATATGTAGTAATTTGAATTATTATTCAGAGCTTGGGTTGTTCTTCCGATGCTTTACAAAGTTTTTATGGCTACCAGTTATATCTACTATTATCTATGAGAAATAAAAACACCAATTTGTAACCTTCACATCTCATAAGGAAATAAAAATTGATAACACAAACATCATAATGGAACCCGCCTACCATTAACTAAAAACATAAAGAACTGCATGTGCATTAGGTGGGGGAAAATTAAGAAAAGAAAATTTTAAAAATGGATGAAGAACTAAGGAAAAAAAAAGGATATCTATAGCATACAGAGACTTGAAGAAATTAAAAGTATAATGTATGAAGATCATGGATTCCTTTCCACTCTTATTCTTACCATTTCCTGACCCTGCAAACAGCATTTCATAAACTAACTCTCTGTGACTTTTACCCTACCTTGGGTAATACTGGAATCCGAAATACTGCAAACTTCCATCTGGTAGCTGCTGCGGGTATTCTCCCTTGTTTCCCACAGGGCAGTCTGGAGGAGCTGGGTGTTGTACTTCTCCTGTGGACCAGCTGATTGAGTGGCCCTTTCCAGCCGCTGAGCTTTTGCCCCTCACTGATACTGCGGATGCTGATGGTGCTTGAATTCTTAGCAGCGCTTGACGAAGCATCTGGTGCATTAGAACAAATTAGGGTGTTATCAACTGACAATATATGTCTTACATTTTTTATGCTCAATAGAAAGTGGGGGGGGGGGGATCAACACTAAATATGAAGGATAAAATAAAAACAATGCATTTCTAATCCTACATAAAAAGAATAAAATAAAAGTAATCCATTTCTAATAATAATAAAAATAAATAAATAAAAACAATACATTTTCAAAGCTAAATAAAATGGAACTACAAATCTATTCATCTTCCACTTGAGTATTAATCATTCTTGTCAATAAGTAATGTTTACTGGTGGATATGATATATTTCCAAAGGAAAGTTCTATCTGACAAGTTAAAAATGCATCAAGAATAAACATTGATTATGATGCACAAATTCTGCTAATTTATGGGGTTTTATTATGTAAAGCAGCTCTCTGAGATACAATTCACTCTAGTTTTCATCTTTTTCAAGCTTGTCAATAATAACAACGATAACGATAATAATAATAACATTAATAATAATAACATGAATAAAAATGAAAATCATGAACTCTAATTATGTAGTATATTATGAGGAACAAGAGATGAATACTTAATATAACATACTGGATATTACAAAACCTTGATCATCCATAGTAATATGAGGCACACAAATCTAATATTCATTAGTTTCTTACACAAAAACTGTTTAAGAGATCTGCTGCGTCCACTTCTTGAACAAAGTGTCACCAATAAAGCATTTCTTCATAGAGATCTTGTCAATGTAATTACTATGTTTTCTCAATATGATTCAAACATTCTTAGTGATTAGTAGGTAAATCATGAGTAGATTAATAAAAAAAATTTAGACACCAGCCTAAACTGAAGACCAGAAATCGTGTTACTATACAATCCAGAATAAATCCACGTCAAATCCACATTTCACGATTCAGGAAAGGCCTACAAAACTTCACCATGTGTATTATGACTAGATAAAGTTCTGACATTTTATTTCCTAATAAAATGCCAAGGAGGCTGAAAGTTCTTTAAGTCACAGCACTTCTTGCTACATAGGTCTGTAGACAACCAACTCTGGGTTTACTTCTTCTTAGCGGAGGTTATTCAAGTCAATTTTCATCAGCACACATCAATAAGTTCAAGGTTAAAAGTACATGGAATTGAGACACTGACTAATTATGAATTATTTACAATAATTAGTTATAATAATTATAATAATAACAATTACATGAATTAGTTACAAAGTTCATTTCCTTTCACTTGAGATTCACGCACCAATGCCTTCAGCAATAGGATCCAGTAATGGTAAAACGTACTGGATGCCTTTGCATATCATCAACCTCTTATAGGCCTCATGTCCCACATGAATATTAATCATTCCTTTCAAAAAGTAATGTTTAGTGGTGGATATAAGGCTAAATAAGAAACCTTGCCAATAAGCATATGGAAGATATTTCATAACCTTCGTTGCAGAACATTAACGGTGGAGGTTATGACAGCCTGACAACACTACCTGAATATGTCATTAAAATACTGAATAACTACAATATCTTTCATAGGTAACTGATGTGAAAATGTTGAATTATTGAATCCATGTTTTGTTTCTCATTTTAGTGTTGTTGGGTAATAAACAGCATCTTTTATAATAATTGTAGTTATTCTTATCATTTTCTAATCATGCTTTTACGTGTTCTTCATAACTATTGCATAAATATCTTAAATTCTGCAGTCTACGGCATTCATTGTGGAAATTATACTTTTGTCTTAACTTTACCGGTAGTGATGAGGTATGGAATGGCAATTCTATTGAATATATTTGCCGTGACAACTCTAAAAAGTGTTCGTTTTCTTCTTCTTTCTTCTTTTATAGGGTTTTAGACCATAAGTGTTCGTTTTAAAGCTTGCAACAATTTAACCACCATTAATTGTTAAAACACAAAATTGCTTTTGTTAAGTAACACCTCACGAATATTCAAAAGCGACGTGAATTATGCTTCTAATACCAGTAGATAAGAATCGAACAATAAGTACATACCCTAAGGTGTTACCATATACCGATAAATACGAATATAACAATAAATTCACAAAAAAAATAATGAAAATCGGATCACCTTTCCCGGCCCGTGGAGAGCCCGAGAGCCTCGAGAAATCAACAAATACGAAACCAACGTTGTTTTTGCAGACGAATTTTGCTTCATATGCGAACGGCGTTTTACTTCTTCCTTTTTGCTTATTTTCCAGGATCTATTCAATTGACTGGGATATCTTTGTTTATGTTATTTCCATTCTTATTTTTTGTGCATTTCTTAAATCTTCTGAAGTATCTAGGAGAGTTATTTAATGCATTTTTGTCTTATGCGAACGGAATTATATCTTTAAATTTTGCGTAAGTTTAAGGATTTATCTCTTTTATATCAGATCTAGGGCTAATAAGTTTCTAAACATTTTTTCATGATATGTACATGTATAAGATGTATCAAGTAAAACATTTTCTTTATTTATTACTTGCAAACCGGGTTGTATTTTCCTCGGTATTTTCTTCAAATTATGCGCGATTTTTGAGTATCTATTTCATTCTACAATTATTCTATGCGATGTAGAATCTATTATATTTTTGGTTATGTAGAGTTTGATATGTATGTCAAAATCGTGATGTGTTACAGGGAACTTAAATGCATTACCATAAGACCTATATTCATCCATCTTCCTACATGATTTCACCCTAATTAGCCATCTAAAAAAAGGAATTATTACTTATATCATCACATCCCATATAAAGTCATTCCAAAATATTTAATAAAATCAATTCGGTTAAAGAGTTCAAGATAAGTTGTTTACAAACGTTCTCGTATGAACTCGTGTTTTTAAATCATTAATCTTCAAGGTTTCTTATTTATTCTTCATAGTCATGGCTGGAATGTCCTTAAATGATTACTTTCAGAGGGTAAGTTGGCTTTTATTGTACTAGTGTATCAGATATATCTAAAGGCAAGGGTTATAGTGCCTATTTGTTAGAATTGTGCGAGGCCCGACCAAAGAATATTCGTATACTTGACATGCATAAATTAAGAAATAAATGCATATTTATCAGTCTAGACATGCATATCAACCGGGGAAATAGATAATTAAATGTATGTCTATCAGATGTATAGACAGATAGACCTTTATTTCTGCGTCTGTATTTATGGAAATTCATTGGGTCGGGCCTGGCACAATTCTACCAAACCGGCCGATAGACACGGATCCCTTTCTACACGATGATTTTCTTGCTTAGAGGCACGATTTGTGTAGGCTAACCTAATCTGACTTGACCAACCTAACCTAACTTATCTTAAATAAACTAACCTAACTTAACCTACCTGACCTAACTCAACCAACCTAACCTAACCTGCAAAGGTCAGACAGGGCCATGATGTAGAGTATACAAGCTAAATATGATGATGATGTTACCAAAATGGCTAAAATTTAGAATCCCCGATCGGAAGTGACTGCAGTCATCTTGCTTCTAATGAACGATGAGTGCCAATTCGGCTGCGTTCGACAACCTCGATCTTAATTCGAGGAAGTGTTCCAGTTGTCCGTCTCTGCAGAAAGATTTTCTACAGATAGAGAAATGGATCTGTTTCCATAGAATTATTTTCGGGCTAAGCGGCACAGATTTTTTTTCCGTTTCTAGAACTACTTTGATATCTAAATGAAGAAATTATGTTACATATTTTTTTTTTTGTATGGTACATCTTCTTGAATGTGTAAGGATTTCTGTAATATTTACATATTAGTTTGTGTAAATATCTTTATTGAATTCAGTAGATTGGCTGCCTCCTTATGTATGCACATTGAAGACAATTAATTTGTGACTTTTTTGGAGTATAAATAAAGACAACATAATTATTATTTTTTTTTTTTTTTTGTGTGTGTGTGTGATTTTGTGATTTGTGTGTGTAGGGTCTAATAGATGGTGTGAAATTATTGCACGTGTTAGAAAATATCTTGGTGCATGTTTTGAGAAGACCTCCCTGATGTATGACATAATCTGCCCATGCAAAGAATAATGTCACAAATCAATGAAAATAGATAGCACAAATGCTAAGTCTACAATGATTAGCAGAGTCCCAGACTAGGGAAATATGGGGATTGGGTGGGATGAAGCCCTGAGTTTGGAAGGTTTTCTATTCATACAACTCCCAAGTTTGTTGGTTGGAGTAAGAGGGACAAGTAAATTACCATTTCTGTCATATGATAGATATAAGATTGGTCTTTTTTTTATTGTAATAATGATGATAATCATATGTCATGACCTTATGAAGGGAAGGTTCTAAGGATGATAATCATATGAAGGAAGGGTATTAAGAAAAATGCCTCCAAATTAAAGGAAATTAAATGAGTTGGCCAAATAGATTAATATATAAACAAATTATTTTATTAATGTGGAGAAATCCTGGACCACTATAATTCACTTTGAAGTCCAAACAATACTAGTGATACTGACATAAGGGGTTGGACATGGAGAAAGATAAAGGGACAGAGTGTGAAGAGGTGTAGTTTAAGGTGAAATGAGGAAATTGAGGAAGCAGGAAACAGATGGATAGGGAATAAAAGCGGCGGGTTAGGTGAATGGGGAAAAGGTAGGGTCGCAGGCAAAAGGGAGTGGTAGGGAAATAGCTGAGATGGATGGGAATTGGGGATGGAAGAGAGAAGTAGATGAAAAGGAGGGGAAATGTGAAGGGAGATGTAGGGGAAGTGGGAGAGGAGAAAGAAGTAATAAAAAGGGAAAAGGGATATGGTGTCAGGGGAGGGTAAGGGAAGGAAGGCTAGCAGGAATTACAGTTCTTTACATTAAACTACAGTGCTGAATTGGTCAATCTATTCTTTAGACCCTCTAGACCCCCCCCACACACACACACACACACATTTTAGTTAATATTTCAGGTCTGTTATAAGAGAATCTTCCACAGTCCCATAGAGGTTGTTTGCATGTTTGTCTTTTTAGTTTTTATAAATGATGTAAGTAAGTTTTATATCATAATCTCTGTTTTTACAGGTACAAGGGGCCTTTTATAACCAGGATGGAGAAACTCTGGGGGTAAGTAATAAGTGCTTTTAAGTAATTTCAAGAACATTTTAATTTCGTATTCATTATAACAAATATTATTATGACGATGTTTAGAAGACACCAACATAGTAAATACTGGTCTTGTTCTGATTGGCCAACAGACCTTTACCACATATTCTCTGGTAAAATAACATGGAGTTGGATACCTTCTTGGTAATTTGTCTTTGTGTAGAAGGTCTGAAGCCAGTCTAATGTATCTTATTCAGAATATAAAGATGTAAGTAGAAACATGTCAGGCACATCTCAGTTTATGAAATTGTTCATTATGATTCATCTCGATGACCTCTGTCCAACCAGTCCATCTGCTTCATATTGAAAGTCACTGTATGTTGAATTTTGAATATTATTAGTATCATTATTATATGCATTGAATAGAAACATTTTCTTCAATAAATTTTTATTTCTCCATGATATTATTGATGTATTTTCTGACTACAGGAGCTGATATCATTCAGAGATCCACATGTTATGAGCTCAAGATTGATGTTAGAAAAGCCAGAGCGAGATGTAGAAAGATGCATCGATCAGTCCCTTGCAGAAATTATTGCTGGGCACTTAAGGTAAATTAATTGACTTTTCTTTGTTCTTTTTTCAAAAAAATTAATGTCGAACTTCAGGTTTTGTTCAGATACTTAAACATGGAATATTGGTTTTGCCATGGGATTTAACTCTTAATTTCAAGTACTGTTTAGGGCATTGGTTATATTTTAGTGGTACAGATGAAGTAATGTTTTAACTTTAGAGAAGGGAGTTCAGCCATTATATATACTAGATTTTTTTGGTAAATATTTTATCTGCTTCTTATATATAGAGAGGCTAGTTTTAAGGAATAAAATAACTCCTAGAAAGGAAAAGGTTCACTTCTTGAAATGAAACAGAGCCATTATATGAAAGGAACATGAGATTGTGACATTTTGAATCAATTAGTCTTAGCCACCTCATCATATGGTAATACAAAGTCCACTCCAGTTTCATCATCTGATTAGAAGTCTAGTCTGATTCAAAATATCACAGATCAGTGTAACTTTATTATTATTTATTTAATTTTAATCTTTGTGCACATATTATTGTGTTTGTACTTGTATTTCACTTCTTATTCCCCCTGTGACAAGAGATATGAATTATACTAATTATAAACAATATAGTATGAATGTCTTCATCTGGGGAATTTTCCTTTGTATAGGTTTTGAAATATGGATTGTACCGAAGTTACTTGAATGGTAACCCATAAACATACATGTATCCTTGACATTTTCTGTGTAATTATATAGTTCAGAAAGAAGGAAAGCTTGCAGTGTGACAGTAGTGTCAGCTCAAATTAATAATATGATTGGCAAGTGAGGACAGGAATGAGTTGAATGTATGAACAATAACTTTTTTCAAATTAGCATTACTTGATAAACATAGGAACACAGTTTAAGAATTGCCACAATCAAAATACTATATAAAATTAAATACCAGTTTTGCCATCAGGATACATTGTTTTAGAATGTTTTTAAAATGGTTTATATTACATGTTATGGCATATAATATTAATGAATCAACATTTCAGAGCAGTGTGGGCAGCAAGTTCAGGAGATTGCGTAGAAGCTTGGAAGACACAGATGCTGGTCGCACATTCTGTAGCCCGGTTTATGCAAGAGTTCAAAGAAGAGAACTGGATGCTGCCAATGATGAACACTGCATGTTTAGACTTACGGTAAGTTTATAATCCATATATACAAGTTTACTCCCTATTTTTTATTACTTTTAGGAATATCACTTTACTCTACAGGTTTTGTGCTTGCTAAATGTTATTAGAAATATAGGTTTAAAATGCTCAGTACAAGAAGATTATATGAAATGGAAATTTAGTAGTCATTTTAGGATTGTTTTGTGAAATGTTTCTGATTAAATCTTTCTTTTTTTTTCCTTTTTTTCCCTAATGCTATCAATAATGCTGTTATTATTATTATAGACACTATAATTACTCTAATATTTTTTACATTACTACTAGCAATAAAAGATAAAAGTATTTTTGATAATCAAGGAAAAGGGTAAACAGGTGAGATAGGTAGTACTATTATTTGACTCTGGTTACTAAGTACTTGTGGAGCCATCTATGTGTAAAGACAGTT